TCTCTCTCTCTCTCTCTCTCTCTCTCTCTCTCTCTCTCGGCGTAAACATGTTATCCGTTTCTGGAATTCTGTTATCACAGAAATTAATTTCTTTGAACCGCAAAATCGTATAGAATTTAATAATAAGTTTTTTTTGAAAGCATCTTCTAATCAAATAGTGATAATCAATCGAAACGAATATCTCATCGATGTTTGTAAACATATTTCTTGTATGAATTTAATATACTTTATAAATATTTGATAATTTGAATATTCCATTCAATTTGTTAATGAATATTACAATTCTTGGAAATGCCAACAAAATATTTCGGTGTTGGTTGACATTGAAACCTATGAATATATAATTATACACATCTGTATAACTGTATTATTATCGTAAACATTAAATTCTTTTATAATTTATCAAATGTTATGTATTTTTGTTAATTTGAATAATTGAAAGGACGCCTAAAAACAGCCATCCATTGACGCCCACATTCCCTCACCTTTTATACACTATTTTTACAATTCATCTCTTAATTAAGCAATTCTTTGAAAACCTTTCGACGAAACGTTTTGTATTATTATTGTTATAAATTTTACAACTATTACTTTGTGTACAATTGTTGCGAAATACTAGTATTTAGCAAATTATAAACTCTGTTTGATTGAAATTATAATTAATGTCATATTTTTCATAATAATTTGAGTAAATTGATCACAATTTTATAAGTTAATAAATATTGTATTTTGTTGACCAATTTTTATATTGTTTCCACAGAATATGCCTTAATATAACTTTTTTGTAATTTATTTAATTAATTTTCAAACTAAACTTGTTTTCCTAATTCTTACGACATATTCTGTTATATTATTATAAAATAATTAATGTATTAATAGGAATGCTGTTAAATATGTTGTCATATACTAGTTCTTAATACTATCCATAATTGTGAAAAGTGATGGAAGTGTTGACAAAAGTTTTAATATTCTGTTATATTATTATAAAATAATTAATGTATTAATAGGAATGCTGTTAAATATGTTGTCATATACTAGTTCTTAATACTATCCATAATTGTGAAAAGTGATGGAAGTGTTGACAAAAGTTTTTTTTCTTCTGATATAACAGAAAGACATTTATCGATATAATGGCCACAAATTTAAAGACCGGATATTGTATTCTATAAGAAGTGTCATAAACTTAATTCCGTTTATTTGCAGACCTATTCCCACAAGAATTTCAATCAAATCAAGTGTTTGTCGCGATAAAACTTGCCTTTTGGTAGAGTTCATCAGAAGGCCTAGTGCTAACGGTCGGTAAGTGGGCGAGAGTGTAGGTCAGCTGTTAGGTATAAGTTACGCAATTGGTAACTGACGTAAGTTATGGAATATTATATAAATACATAGAGATGTGACGTTAAACCGTTTATAATAAATGCCAAATGTCTCGAAAGTCAGTGGATTTGTTCATATTTATAGCCGACTATTGCCCTCTTTTGCTGTGCAATTCAATACACACTTCNTAGCCGACTATTGCCCTCTTTTGCTGTGCAATTCAATACACACTTCACTATTAATAAACGCTATTTCGTGTCATTTTGAATACAAAATTAAGGACAAAGTCATCGAAATATGTAAATATTCTTAACCCAGAGTTATAATAAAGTTCTTGGAATGTCATAAATATATTGGTATTCATGACTGACTTATATAAACAATATTAGAAATTAATCAAAACATTTTTAATATAGTTTCGCAGTTATATTTATTTCTATAAATTTAAACAAATTCTTTATAAATAGATCTGTAAAAATCAAAACATCGATTGTTTGTTTATAACAAAAAAGTTACTTAACTTTAATCTTATAAAATCTGAACGGAATGTCAACAAAGAGAAGGGTTCCCACAAATACTAACACTGTTCCCAACCAATGACTAGCTGTAAATGGGTTTTGGAAATAAACTATCGATACAATTAACGATAAAAACTTTCTGATTGTCACCACAAGTGTTACTGTCAATGAAGTGCATTCTGTGGTCAATCGGAATACACTTCGTATACATATATATT